TTAATCAACGTAAGGAAGGATGAGGTTTTTAAATAAATGCTGCCACAGTAAGCAACTTCTACGTTTCTTCGTTATCCGGTTTTATCAGATCCAAATCGGTTTTTCCTTTCTCTTCACCATTTACTAATTTTCCTATTTGAAAAAATTTGTTAAGATTGGTTTTTTTGAGTGGGGAAGCCCTCCAATTAAAAGCAAGTACTTCTACATTTTCTACAATCTATTTTTCGACTTTTTCGCTTTTCTTTTTGCTCCACCCTTCCTTAAATGGAGAATTATATGTAAAATGAAAAAGCGAAACAAAGAAAAATCTCGTGAATATGACAGATCAAACCGATGGAGTGTCGCAAAGATGTGGATCAGTCCTCAAGTGAGGTTGCTATAACACCTGAGGTGCACGTAAGAACCAAGCCATAACCTGAATCAGAATCAGTGTGTCTATTTTTATGTGATTTATCTCTAAAAAGCCATTTATTTATCTGTGGCTGCAGCTGGTATCAAATGAATTTCGCGTAACCTGTTGTTCGTTGGAGCTGTCACTTCTTACTATCAATAATGGCATTATGTATTCTAGTGTAACAGCCTTTTGTCCTTATGTTGCATCGCTCGCTTCTTAATAATCTTTGCACTCAACTCGTTTTTTATCATGGCTCTCTTCCTGTAGCATTTGGTTAGCGCTCCTAATTTTGAACTGCCAGCAGTGCTGCTAATAAGAACACGATGTCCACCATTCAAGAGCGGGATGTAATCGCAGTGTGATGGACAAGACGGTTTATATATATTATTAGTTTTTTGGCATCATAAGCAGCTGTTAATGCTGGGATTACGTTACCGTTAACGGACCTCAGAACGAACGCGCGGCACGAACGCAGAATTTCACGTTGGGAAGGCGAAAAAGCATCGTCAGAGCCAAGGTCATCGTCTACGCAGGCGAAGCGACAAGATAACCGTTCTGAAAGCTTGTTCCCTTCTATCCTATGAGAGTCGGGTGGAAAAGAGAGGTGGAGATCGCAATAAATGGAAAACATTGAGGGACTACAAACGAAAGACTAACTATGGAACAAAAATTTATAGATTTGTTATAATTGTTTTGCATCGTTTCTCATTTACCTTGCGGTAAAGAAAAATTTGCTTCTAGTTTTCTATTTATATTCAGTAAGCGTACTAGAATTCTTGACAACTATCTTCTCTTGCTTAAAAAATATTATAGATTTAGGCCACAACTATAATAAGACTAAAGAAAAAGAAAGAAAAAGGGAAAGAAAAGGTAGCTGTTATCAAAGTTATTCCTTAGTTATGCATTTCTCTAGTTGTATGCTTTTTAAAATCGTTTGCAACTGACCAATTTTTCCTGCTTTTGTCAGGCAGTAAACTTAATCTAGAAAATGATGAAACGCACTTAATTTCTTACTATTTGATGGTTTATTTTTGCTAGTTAAAATTCTTGTATGAGGTAATGAAAAAAAATGAAAGGCTTTTTCATTTTTACGCTGTTAGAGTTAATTTTTCGCATACAAAAAATTTTACTTTACCATTTTCTTAGATATTCACTACCGTTAACCTAGGTTAGTTAAGAATACTTCAAAATTTTTTTCAGTTGACAACTTTAATCACGTTGTTATCAGAGTTAAGGAACGTTGGTATGGTTATTGAACAAGCAAATAAAAAAGATCTTCCAGACGTTTAGATGCTAGCATCTGTTGTTAGACAGAAAACTACAGAACAAAAGATTAGTCTATTACGATTAGCTGCAAAAATCGTTAGCACTGACATAACATAAAATTATAAATGTACTTGTTTTTCAAGAGAATAGACAACATTGGCAATTTTTAAGGTTACCGCTTGTGGCTTTACCGCCGGTGCTAAGGTGTGGTGCGATAAATCGGGTTTACGTGACTTTACCGCCGAAAACTACCAGAAGTTTGCAGGAATCGGTAATCACTGTGTCATTACGGCATAATGTAACTTCGAAGTTGATATACAAAACAAGTCTAAATAGTTCTCAAGGTATGTTTTTAGCAAACGACTTAAGTTGCTCTTTTAGTCTACTATCGCAGAGTTTAACAAATTAATTAGTTCTTGTAAGGGACTCATATACATTCAAAACCAAATTAAACTTGCAGTAATTTCAGCTACTGATTGCAGTTGCTGCAAAGTTCTTTGCTTCTTTTAGAAGAATGCACTAAAATTATGAAAGCACTCTAATCATGCTATCTGTAGAAGACTACTTTTGAATTGCAGTGTTGAGAGGGGAAAAACAAACAAAAAAATTCTAATGTAATGCAATGCAATAATCAAATCAGGCATTTTGATGTTTTTTATTCTTTTTACAAAAAAAAAGCATCAAGAATTCAATTTAGATATGTGGAGATTTCTGGTTAACAAATTTTCTTCTAATCTTTTATTTTTTCCACTTTGTTTGTTTTAGCTTTTATTTCACATTTTCATGAATAGCTAACAATTTTTTGTCTTTTTTTTCGCGTTTTGTTTAGTCTTTTTTTATGAAGTTTCGCTGCATTATTTGCATAGATCTTCCTCCTATGTTATCGCCTACTCTTCTTTTTTTTTTTTCAAGCCACGTACTCAATAAGAAATGCTGCAAAATAAGACAAATAAATTTTTTGTCAATCGGCCGACAGTCTACTAACTTTTTCTGCTTTCGTTTTTTTTCAACGGTATTATTACTGTTGCTATAATTTGTCAATCGCTTCAAATATTTGAAAAATGGAATTTTGAAATGCCTATAAATTTCCATGCAACAATGGTCAATTTGAAATTACTTCTTCTATAAAAACCGTAGATCATCTGCGAATTTTTAGTTGGTAGTAACAGATTATTAGATCATTACTGAGTGAAACAGGAAAACTGAAAATTTTTTCTGCCTGACGGTTTTCAAATGATAGATTGTCTAGACAAAATTTGTTTTTAAATGATCAAGTTTCTACAGAACTATGTAGCACATTTTTCAAAAATACCGTCTGAAGTTTTGAATTTAGCAAGTACTCTTTGATTTACAGTTTTTACCGAATGTAATTTATTTCACAACTATTTGTCGTATTGCAGAAATGCTTTAGATGGGCAGCCTTCCAAAATCAGGTTTTCATCAGAAGCAAAATTTTCTAATTGAGTATTGTTAACTCGTTTGCAGTAACAAAACAACACTAATAACAGTTCAAAAAAAAAAAAAAAATGAAGTTATTAATTAGTTTGAAGCAGAAAAATGAATATGGTGCCTTCAAGAAGTTACACTTTAACTTAATATAAGTGAATATAAGTTTAATATATAAGAGCTTTTGTAGTTGAAAGGTTGTAAAAATTGTTTTGCCACAAATAAACGGAAAAATGAGAACTGTTGATACATCACTGTGAACTATGTAATGAAAGTATTGACAAAAATATTTGATTTTGATTCAAATTTTTACTGTTTTGCATAACATAAATTATTAAGTTTGAGCTTTGTCACTAAATACTATTGGTTTCTTCGGCGTTTCACACTGCTCAAGGATTTTTTTTAGCCATCTGATAGCTCTTTACTGTCTCTGTCAAAACAGTACCGTTTATATGTTTATTAGAATCAGCAAGTCAGTATTGGTCAAAAAAATTTTTTATAATCTATTATTTCCTTCTCAAGTTAGCAATAGTTAAGAAGGTGTAAAAAAAAATAAGGAAATACATTTTTTACGCTTTTAATTTCCGATAATGCATATCATCTGCTGTTTTATCACCTTCTTCGCACCTTCAGTTTTATTCGTTGCACTACTGGAAATGTTGCTGAGGGAAAATGTGGGCAAAGCAAATGTATGCACACATCAAATCGTCATCGCATTGGTGTTGCTCGTTATTTTTTTTTTTTTTTTTTTGCAATATGACGTTTCCGATGTTGGGAAAGCTTTATTTGATTTTAAGTCTTTCTTGACGTCTGTATGTGTGGATTCCTTTTTTTCCTGTATTTCCTTTAAACTTTAGTTTGTTTAATTTCATGCGCCTTATTTTTTTAATTTTTATTTTTTAAACTTTTGGTTTCTTTTTTTTTTCTTTCTTGCTTACTTTAAAATATTGTTTCTACTTTAGTTTTTTCCTATAATTGTGTGAGATAAAGTAAAATAAAAATTTTTTACGTTTTTTTTATTTGAATCAAAGTCGGTGCTGCAATTTCTGAATGTAGTAGTTGATCGTTGGAGCAAAAAATAAATTGACTAATGAACCTAATGACAACAGAAGAACCGACCACAGTCATCAAAACAAATAACGTTTGAAAAAAATATGGGAGAGAAAATTGAAAAAAAAAAAAAACAGAGTTGAGAATTTCCTAAATGAAACCGTTTAAAACAACACTGTCTACTGCGTAGTTCGGTGTCACATGTTCAGCTAACGAATAACAACGAAAAAAGTGATAAAGTGGTAAAGAAATTTGACAAATTCACATTTGCAAATATAACCTCATTTGTAAGTCAGCAGAAGCAGTAAATTTTGGTATTCTTATTTTATATCGACTTCTCAAATCTGCTTGTTTTTCTACAGCAGTCCAAATTGTTTAGTTTGCTACATTCTTACTTTTGAACTGCCAAATCACTTAAAATATAACTGTTACTGTTCTGCAGATAAACTGATCTAATCGAGTCAAATGGAGGTGTGTTAGGTGAAAAAACTTTGACGAGACTGAGCAAACCATGTTCTCTACAAAATAAGCTCAATTAAGCATTTTTTTCTTAGATTGATATTTAAGGTTAGCAACTTTAGGCATGAAGAGAATTTTGTTAATTAATTGTTATTGTTACCTGAACGGAAGACCTTATCTTACATTAGCCACATTAAAGCCATCGTATGAATGCAAGTAGGTGTAAACATAAATAAGTTATGCGTTAAGTTTGACCGGAACAAACACAACTGCGGCTTCTAACAACACTCTTCTAGAAATAGAAGCATAAAAAAAAGCTGTGACGAATAGAAAGTGTGTAAGAATTAATTTAAAATTAATAATGGAAAAATATTATTTGAAGGAAATGGTAAAAGAGCTATTGAATTATAAAGGTTGAAACGGTTGTATAACCGCATAAATTTAATATACCTTAAAAAATTCTTTTGTTACAGGATTTGACCGCACAACTTTAGCTGTATAATTAAGGAAGTAAACTA